TATCAAATCTTTCATTTTCATCAATACTATCATGATCACGACTATTATTAACATTTACTTCATGTGAATCATTAATATGCATTATTCTTTCATTTACAAAACTCAATTCATTATCATCAAAATCCTCAAAAGATACTACTTCTTCGCGTAAATCATTTTCTAGCACTGTTCCAATCATAAATAATTCTTTTATTTCATCTTTTTCATAATTTTCATTGTTTATCTCTTCAATATTTTCTTCGATATTTTTATCACGATTTTTATCAAACAATATTATTTCATTATTTTTCTCAACACGATTTTCAAATTCAAAATTTTCTCGCTCGATTCTATGCGGCGATTTAATAACTTTTTTATCTTTAATATTTTCTCTTTTTTCTTCAGATTCAACTTTTATATTATTTTCATAACAAATATCATTACTCTTTTTACCCAAATCAACATTATCAGCTTCATTCAAATCAACATTATCAATACCATTTAAATCAATATTATCAATTTCATTTAACTCAACGTTATCAATTTCCTTTAAATCGACATTTTCAACTGTTTTAATTTCATATAAATTAGCATTAACAAACTTTTCAGTATTATCAGAAACAACTTTTTTACTCTCAATTGCACACGATGATTCTACATCTGTTATTTTGTTTTTAACAATTTCGTAAACTTCATTAATTTTTTCCAATATAGCTTCTTTACATGGAGCATTTAGTATAACTTTTAACTTTTTATTTAATTCATCATTTTCAATANCGATGATTCTACATCTGTTATTTTATTTTTAACAATTTCATAAACTTCATTAATTTTTTCCAAAATAGCTTCTTTACATGGAGCATTTAGTATAACTTTTAACTTTTTATTTAATTCATCATTTTCAATACTCGATTCTATCGCTATTTCGGGTAGCTCGAAACTTTCACTTATCTGGCTCGTGCTCGTGCTTGTATAAGGTGTCTGATTTCTATTTATTCTTTCGATGTCTTCATTTGAACATAATTTATGAGATGTCGTGTGTATAGGCTCTCGGTCGCGTGCCATCTCGAGTTCCGACGGCTTACTCGATAATTGACATGATGTTTCGAACGGTAATATTTGTGTATCCCATCTGATCGTATTAGATAGATAATCTATGTTGCTTCGACACTCTTGTAGCGATTTAGTACCTAATAACCCGTCTTGAAAAATTGGAAAATTGTCGTGAACTACTTGAATTTTTACTAATGTTATTCCATTTATCCATGCCGAAATTTCTCCAAGGGTCATTATTAAGTCAGGCGCAATACCTTTCAAATATGCTCTATTATCATTAATGAATGCGTGATTAGCAACTTTCGATTTTTTTATTAAATTTACGCTCGCGCCCGTGTCTATCATTAATTTTACCGATCATAAAAATTCATTCGCTCCTACCGTGATTGTTGGTGAAGGGTTTTTTGTATTAACATTGACTGTGTAAATTGGTAATTTTATTGAGTCGTTTGTTGTTGTGTCTGGCCCTGCCCCGGAGGCGCTGCTTGTGTATTGGGTATTAATAAAAAACAATTTCTTGAAATATGACCTGGTTGGTGGCAGCGATAGCAAACTCTATTATCACCGTTATTATTATTTTGATATCCCGGACCGCTATTGTTATTGAAATTGCCGTTGTTAGTATTATAATTCCCATTATTAAAATTTTGATTGTTATTTGGATTGAAATTTTGATTATAATTTTGATTGTCATTATAGTTATTATTATAGTTTTTACGATTGCGATTATTATTGTAATTATTATTTCGATTATTATTATTGAAATTTTGATTGTTATGATAATTGTTATTATGATTATTTTTGTTTTGTGAATTTCCTTTATTTGATTTTTTGTTATTAACTTTGTTGGCAAAATTTCGAAATTTAAAACAATTGCTCATATCATGACCCGCTTGCTGACACCATGTGCAACGTGCCTCATTTATGTGATCTATCGTAATGACTTCCGGCACTTTCGGTCTATACTTATTGCATTTTGATGATTCATGATCCGATGCACCGCAATGTTCGCAATTTCCCGATGATTTTAATTTTTTAAACGGTTCGCAATTTACCGCAAAATGATCTGATGCGCCGCAAAGTAAAGATTTCATATCGTTAGTCGGGGTCGAAGGTGAAGGTTTATCCGCACGAAAACCCGCCACCTTGATACAATCCGCTGAATCATGAGTAGTACTTCTGCAAAATGCACAAGCAAATTGTCGAGTGCTCGAACTTCGCCTTTCGTCCTCTGCCTTCAATTCATTCTCAATTTTTACCGCTGCCTCATAGGCACTTTCTAAGTTTTTTGCCGCTGGCATACGTGATTTTATTTGCCAAATCAAACCGGCTTTGAAAGCGTTTAATATAAGCTCCTTGATATTATTGAATGGTAAGCAAGTACCGTCACCCCGTTCTTTCGCGAATTCAAGGTCCTGTTCTAATTCTGCTACACGTGCGTAATAAAGGGATACTTTTTCTCCGTCTTTTTGATGAATAGAGTCAAGATCTTTTATAAGTTGTGTCGCCGATCGCGTTTCTCCGTACGCGCTTTCTAAAAATAAGCAAAGTTTATCGATTTTTGAAAAAAGCTCTAAATTAATAATATCCGCACACGGACCGATAATTTTTTCTTTTAATTGCAATATAAATTTCTTTTGTACTTCTTCGTTTGTTAATGATTTACTTGCGAGTCTACAGTCTTTTACAAATCGACGCGTATTTTGCTTGCTTGACCCGTCAAAATTCGAAATACCCTTCAACAATCGCTTAAACAATGCGCTTTCTGCCGCCGCGGCCATTTCAGCTTCGTTTTTTTGTTCGTTATCGCTTATATCGCTATCTCCACCGTTTTCACTATGTTCACTGTGTTCACTTTCTTCACTGTGTTCGCTATTTTCACCGAGTCTATTACCGTCACCGTCTTCGTCTCGAATTTCTTGCTTCGGATCAATGTTACTATTGGGAAGACTCGCGTTTTCTTCGGTTTTTACTTGCTCGTTGCCGAAAAAATAATCTTTAAAGGGATTAATTAATTTATCAACAATATTGCTATTTTTTACTGTTTCTTCTTCATCAAAAATCGCGTCTGTAACCGATTTGTTAATAACGTCTTCGTCAACTTGATTTTTTCTTTTTATTTCTTCTATTTGCTCCGGTATAGTTTTTAAAAATTTTTCGACGCGTGATACAACTTTTTCTTTAACCTCGGGTGTGCTAGTGTATAATTTAAGTGTGGCTGGTTTTAGTGAAATTTTGCGCTTATCAGTGTTAATATTTTCGATAATTGAAATATCAGCGTCTTCCGCTTCCAACTGTTTTTCAGCAATAGTTTTAGGGGCTAATTCACTTAAAATTTGTTTTTTCTGATCTCTTAATTGTTTAAGCTCCTGTCGATTATTCTTTTTATTTAACGCAGCTATAATTTGTCTTTCAGTTTCGTAAAGTTTTTTCAAGGTCACGTTTTCGAACAGTTCCGAATACGACATTCTATCTACAACCCTTCATTCTCCTGCCAGAAAAATCACTAAATTTTTGCAAAGGTCGTTCAATAGGAGTCCTTAGGCCGTATGCACCATTTTTGTAACGGCTGTCGAGCCGCTACTTATTTTAAATAATAGGGGATCTTAATCTGGCAAGGGAGAACGAATGGGTGGCAAATAAAAGCCGTATACCTTCTCCTGATCACAACAATTATACATTTATTTACGCGACACTTAAATGCTAATTACAAAGGTGATAGATCTTAAATTACTTAACATACAGCTACGGACGATTCGTGACAGTCTCGATGATGATGTAGGCGCTGGCTCTCGTGGCGGATGGGTCTCCTCCTGCACCTGGGCTCTTTTGGTAAATGGCAGTCCTTACTTGTCGCTAGCGCACTCACTCGCAATTTATTTTAACACACGCAAATAATTCTTACTTGACAAATTTTATAATTCAAGACTGCGTACTGATAGCTAATATTACAAATCAGACTGACAAGAGCTCCGCGCACCGTAAAAGTTGATAATAGAATCGCCCAGAGGCCTCCGTGGGTCCTCAATATATGCTGCTAAATTTCGCATGCAAAATTAAGAGAAAGTACCTGTCAGCACCTGCTCATCCGTGAGAACCTGACGACAGCCTTTTGCTAATTTTTACGAGTTCATTGATCTTCCTGCTAAACTGACATCGCCTCACATTTAATCAATCCTTGATATGGCGTGTCTATTTCACACCTTTGTAAGAGGTGTAAATTTCGATGTTCTTTTCATAGAACTCGATGTCTTTACCATTTTTATATCTTTGTTTTCTACTTAGCTTGATGTCGTCAGATCCCGTAGATCGAGGCTAGCGCGTTCGCTCGCAGAGTGAAATCTCATGAATATCGGTAATTGTTTATAATAATTGAGTGGAACGTTACATCTCAATCTATCCACAATCGAAGTTTATTTTTCGAAAGCATTTGGAGTAAAGAAACATTAGTATAAACATTTAATAACAAGTAACGAGGGCTCTATGCATAATTACTTTTATGATAAATATTACTTATGTTGTTAAAAAGTAAAACTTCCTAATTTTCGTCATAAAAAATTAAGATTTCCTAGTTTTCGTTAAAAATACTGACAATTCCCTAGTTTCCTTCAAATACAGTGAAATCTCTCTATAGTGGACACTCTGAATAGCGGACACTTCGCAATAGTGGACACTTTTAGAACGATGAAATATTCCTATGAATTTCTTATGTAGCTCCTATTCCAAATAGCGGACATTCTCAATAGTGGACGTGGACACTTATTTTCAGGTATTAACGGACAGTTTTTCTTCTTATTGTTCAAATGTTGAACAATAACAAACGGAAAATTACGTATTACATAGATTGAAATAAGAAAATAAACATCAACATAAGACCAACGATCACAGAAGACACAGTTCTCATTGTCTCACGCGCGTATATAGAAGTCAAATATTGCTATTGAAAATCATTAGCGTTGTCAAAAATGTCTAAGCGTAAAAGACTAACTCTCGCCGAAAAAATAAATATAATAAATGAGTGTGAAAAAACAAACGAAAGTTACCGTGCAGCAGGAGAAAAGTTTGGTGTCAGTAAATCGCTCATCGGGGAAATACTAAATGAAAAGGAGGAATTGCGCTCTTTGTTTGCGCAAAATGGGAATGTTCTGTCCAAGAAGAGATTTGCCAAAACTTATAATCTATCGATAGATTCGTTAACGTATGAGTGGCTTTGCAGAGCAAGAGCTCAAAACATTCCCATCAGCGGACCACTCATTCAAGAAAAAGCTCTTGAGATATCGGCAGAAATTGTTCAAAGAACAAAAGATTATAGGCTGGTGGATTTCAAAGCTTCCTATGGATGGCTGCACAAGTTTCGCATTCGTCATAAAATTACATACAAAACTGTAAGCGGTGAAGCTGGATCTGTTGATCAAAATGAAATTGCCTCGTGGAAAATCATATAAAAAGACATCTTGAAAGATTATAGTGCGAGAGATATTTATAATCTGGATGAAACTGGCCTCTTCTACAAAGCTACTCCGACAAAAACAATGTGCTTACCAGAAGTTGATTGCAGTGGCGTGAAAGTTCAAAAGAACCGACTGACTGTAATGCTATGCGTAAATATGTCTGGGGATTTTGAATATCCACTATTAATTGGAACCGCGAAAAACCCTCACTGTTTCAAAGGAGTAAATATTAAATCATTGAAATTTAAATGGGAGCACAATAAGAAGGCGTGGATGACACAAGTCATCATGAATGATTTTTTAATAAATTTCGATGAAAAAATGCGGAACAATGGACGAAAAGTTATTTTATTCATGGACAATGCAGGACCTCACCCAGACAATTTACAACTGACAAATGTAAAAATTATCTTTTTGCCACCCAACACGACTAGTGTGTCTCAGCCACTTGACCAAGGAATTATTAAAAACTTTAAGGTCAATTATAGACGTCGCGTATTAAAACACCTTTTAAAATCCATTGATGACAACATACAAGATAGTAAACCATCTAAAATAACAGTGTTAGATGCGATTCAATGGATTATTTCATCCGTAAAAGAGATAAAAAAAGAAACGGTGCAAAATTGTTTCATCAAGTGTGGATTTTCTACAGAAGTAATGCTGAACACAGCAGTTGAAGCCGAATTTGCAGAGAGAGAAGACTTAGAACGACTTTTACAACCATATGGAGTTAACGTTGAAAGTTATGTGTCAGTAGACCATAGTGTTCCAACAGAAGACAGAACTATCGATATACCTGATTTGATACAGGACGCACTAGACGAAGATGATGCTGCAGATGTATCGCTTGTTGACCAAAACGTTAACGAAATCGAAGAGCCATCCATACCATATGTTAATTTGAAACTGGCATTTGATTATTTGAATGGTCTGAGACATTCTTAAGAACGGGAGGTTGAGGCCTGCACAGAAGCAGAGGCAAATCTTGAAATTGATTTGATAACTAAACCTAAACATCAAGCTACTATCACCGATTTTTTCAAGGGCACAAATGATAAATAAAATTTTTATAATTTTAAATTGAATATTTAACTAATAATAATATTATTTGAATAATAATAACTATTAATAAGTAACTAAGTTAATAAAGCCCTGATTGACGCTGAAAAAAGCATTCATAGTATACAGTTTAAAATGTCGTTCTTTTTTCATATTCTCCCATATCCTCTTCTTCCGAATAGCGGACACTTCCCAATAGCGGACAGTTTTCCAGGTTTTTAGGGTGTCCACTATAGAGAGATTTCACTGTATCCTGGTTTTCCTAATAGATTCGCGGATTTCATGTATTCTGTGCAAAACTTATTCTCCCACCAGCTTCGGAAATTATCAGATAGATTATTCAATAGATTTAAATCTATTGATATTCGATAGATTTAAATTGATCAAAAATACCCGAAAAAGCTCGATTACCCGAATTTACCCGACTCGACTTTTACTCGACTCGGACTCGACTTGGGTACCCGCACACCGCTAGTCATAACGCGCTAAAGATTAGTGCCGAATCTTTTCTAAGCAATGGAGCCTCGCTTTGGTGAATATCATCGAAAATTTCCACGCTTGAGAGAACGCCCAGATAGATTCCAGGAGTATTTGCGAATGGAATTAACTACTTTCGACTACATTCTAATGAAAATTAAAGACTGCCTTAAAAAAATTGGAACAATCTACATAAGCGGCCGATCAAAGAGGAAGAAAAGCTGGTCATAACAATCAGGTATTGAACATTTCTTGAATGCAACTTTTATAAATAAGCTTTTTCCACAAAATTCGAGACAGCACTTGCCTTCGGCTCGTACTCCAACCTCTCGTTCTGCAGAAAAATAACACACACATGTTGCATAAAGTACTGTCGCAATTCAAAATTCATGACTAATGTTTATTTTTTCGTAGATTATTGTGCACTGGATTGTCCTATCGAGACATGGGTCATGCATTTGATGTGTCGAAATCGATCGTGGGTAAAATACTGGATGAAGTATTTCAAGCTATTTGGGAGCAGTTACGCGAAATACATATGCAATCACCAACTGCGGACTTTCTAATCGACACAGCACAAGATTTTTTTTTGACATTTGATGTTCCTCATTGCTGTGGGGCCGTCGACGTGAGCCACATTCCAATAAAAAAATCTGCTCACTCCGGGTCTCAGTTTTATAATTATAAGAAGTATTATTCAGTGACATTGCAAGGCCTCGTGGATGCAAACTTCAGATTTATAAGCATCGATGTCGGTGGATTCGGCAGTCAACACGATTCCACAACGTTTCTTTTCAGTAAATTGTACCAGGGCTTCGTTACAGGTAGCCTAAAATTTCCTGACAGTGACGAGCTGTATTATTCCAATGTTGTGGCACCTTACTTCTTTGTCAGGGATGTGGCATACCCGTTAAGCAGAAATTTAATCAAACCATATCCTGGCTTCAATTTAACGCGAGAGCAAAAATTATTCAACCACAGAGTTTTCACAGCAAGAGTGACCGTCGAACGGGCATTTGGTTTGTTCAAGCAGACATGGAGAATGTTCCACAAAACATTAGAATACCCACCAGATAAAGTCGAGGCTGCTGTACAGTGCGCTTGTATTCTTCATAATGTCATGATTAATTTGGAGAAAATAAATGGTGAACCAGTACGTGCATTACCAAATCGTCATCAAGGAGTGAATGAAGTTTTCACAGGGAATAGAGAGAAAGTTGAAGAAAAACTGATGAGATTTTTTCCTTCTAACTAACTCACCTATTCTGCGCCAGGCACAAAGTAAGCTATATGTTTTTTTATATTCATAATTGCAATTTTTAACTATTATACACTTGCATCAGGACTTCATATAAGACATAATCAATATTATCAAAGTTGGGAGACCACAATATCTATTGCATTGCCAGTAAACGAAGAAAAAGGAGCACACATTTTATCTGTCAAAAATGATCAGACTAGCCTATTAGAAACTTTGAAAGAAAATGAAACTAAATGTGAAACAACAAGTTTTAGCTGAACATTACTTTGACTGCAACCTCATTGGTAAGTTCAAAACCGGAGAAACTTTTAATTTTTCCATTATAATGTAAATACTAGTGAATAAACAATGTATCATTAATTACAGGACTAAGACGGACTTTTGTAATCAAGCAAGGAAAAGCAAAGCACCATGCAATGCTTGATTTCTCAAAGACACTATAAAATACTGTTGAAGAGCTTGGCAAACATTTTCATTTTCTTGATTACATTTTCATGAAATGTCAGCACCACTAGTATCAGTTGGCTTTTTTTATCTGCTTATTTATCTGTTGAAACTGTATGCTTAATTAAGAATTGTTATTTAATCAAGAATTTAGGTAAGTGGATTAAACATTTTCATAGTTTTTCTCATCATACTGAAGGTGGATATTATCAAATCAATATTCCACATAATGATGAGCATCTTGGATATTTAATAGTTTCTTTATCAGTTATATTTTAATACAAAATATTTGGTACAATTCGTTATAGAGTTGATCAACCAGCCATGCATTGTTTTATATCTGTTTCAATAACTTGAAGTGTACATAACCTACACCTGTCAAAATTCTAGTTTGTCTTGAAAACTATTTAAATTTGTACATTGGTTTAAATATTGATTTTATTAATTATTATTTGTTGCAGCAGTGGATTTGATGATATTAGAATTAGATAATATTAGGTATAATATTAGGCTATAATTACCACATGAACTCATAAACGTTTATGATTGTTTTAGTTTCGATAATTTCATTGAAATATTATCATTTCCCAAAATCAAGTTATTATTTGTTATAACTTTAAAGCTTTATTACTCTGAGAATGAAAGTATAAACATTTTATGATGATGTCATACTTTTAATAATGTGATAACATTTCATAGTAGATTTGAGAATTAACAACCATCATTATAAACATTGTGTTACATACTCCGTAGTCGGAATTGTAACAAGAAACCTTTTATATAGTTGTAGTCGCTTGTTGCGTAGGGGTAGCATGGAATGAAGTATAAAGTTAGAAATATGATAATAAACTTACATGTATTTATTTGGAATTGTCGATGACGGCACACACAAAAACAATACAAATGATTTACAAAGTTACACTTATGAAGCTACTCGAATTATATGCATATAATGCATGTACAATATTAAATATATTTTATAAACTTGATTAAGTCGCGTTGACACTAGAATCGATACGTAGTGTACGATTTCGTAGATATGAAGGAGGACTGATCCTCTTTTACTGTGGCTTATATACACCTAAAGTTGCCCCCGCTTCAGCGGTTGCAGCGTATGTAGCGAGCTCGATATGGGTCAATAATTGACACATATCTTGCACGCGCGTGTATATTAGCCGACCCGGACCCGTGTTCTTCCCGAAATTCGTGAAGTCGCGGTCACCGCAGTTTTACAGCTTTTCTCAGATATTCATTCACACTCGCGGCCGCGTGTGTTCATTTCTTTGTCGTGCGAATTATATTTTCGCAAGAGTTTAATAGCAGAGGCCTAATAAATAGGTAATGGATTTTAGGCCGCTCAATTCGGCATTGTTTACGCTGGCTGCGCGTGTCCGAAATGATGTTACTTTCTGTCGTGTGTGTGTTAATGAAATTATGCATAGGAGATACGTGAGATACATTAAATTGTAATTCATGCGTAGCCGCTTGCTAGCTGCTTCTCGCAGTTTTAATAATTTCTTTTTCACTGAGAAAGGTTACGTCGTAGACTGTAACAATATATAGTCGTTTTAAAGCATAATCTGGAAATTTTCAAAGATACAGTTTTCATTACAAAATTCTTCACGCTTGATAGCCCCACGAAAATCGTCTTATTTTTTCCCATTGAGACAAAGTCAAATGGTCTTATAAGTTTGAGTGCGCTTGCCTTGTTTATAAAGTTGAATAGAGTATTATTATAATAGTTTTGAGTATTTTATTAAATACTTACCTGTTGGTTAAATTGGTCGTATAGAAATTTATTGAAACTGTCTCCTAAGCTTGGTGTCATGTGGTAATGATCTTGATTATTATAATACCACTGCAAGTGATCTACATTCAAAGAAATTGTGTATGCGGTGCCTGAATTGTCAGAACTACAAAACTCAATCTCAAGTAAAGTTACTTTAGTCCCTACAAATTGTTTTGAAATGCGGAATTATTTCCACATTGATTGTCGGATGCGTTCAATTTCAAATGAATTTTTATTAATCACTTTTTTTTCCTAATAATTTTTATGTCAACAATTATTCGCTATATTGTATAAAAATGTCTTTTATTCAGTGCAGTTTTCTCAATATCTCAATTTTGGAAATCATTCTATATTTGGGAATATGCAGCTATGATCAATGAACAAATGGATGATATCGAGGAGCGCGTGTCGCGCTCCACCTGGCAAGTATGACAGGAACTTAACCTATGGAAACTTCAGATACTATAAATACAATAAATAATGAAGATACAAGCTAGGAAGGATATCCTTGTTTTACCAATAACTCCGACACCCATGAATTACAAACGAATGATATCGATAGTGATGATGAGAATCTTCCCGTACATAAACGTGTTTCGGAAGAATTGGTACGTAATTAATAATTACAAAGAAAATTCCATTTTTTAAATTCCCCAGGAAAAAGGCAAAACGACTTAAGGGCTAACAGGGGGATTAAAATTGAAAAAAATTAAAATTTGCATTACCGCAAAGATCATAAATAAATTATAATACTCGTTAATATTGACATTGGCATCAAATTTTCTTTTTTCTAATAGTATTTTTTGATCTGTTTTTAATGCATTTTTCAAAACGTAAAAATTTTGTTTATTCACTGAGATAAGTCCACCCCTCAAGTCCACTTTTTGTGTTTTTCAGAAAAACGCATTTTACATTAAGTCCCAACATAGTGATGATATGGAGTAAAAATTTGGACGTCGTTAGTCGTTTGGCTTTTCCACTACATAATTAATCTCACTTCTGTGAAATGAATCATAATGTAATACAAATCCTAATTAAACGAAATTTCACGTTACTTTTTCAACTACAAAATAAGGATGTTTGTGCCGATTAAATTTTAATAGCATATTTTTACCTAGGATTACAACGATCCAATGGATGATTGTCTATTGAACACATTAGAAGATGACACTTCAGACGAAGAGTTTAATGCTGATACTTCGCTAGGTAATGCTGCAGTATTTACGAAACTGAAGGATATGTTGAAGGATGAGACATCAAATGAACCCGTTGATTTACCAATCATTGCCAGTAAGGTCGAGATGATGCTTTCAATCTTAAAAATATGGTCCAAATATAATCTTCCAAACGTTGCTCTCAAAAGCTTATGTCAGATGATAAACTCTTTTGTTGGCTCACCAATCTTACCCGAATCTCGATACAAAATCGATAAGTTATTATCAGCAGAAGAAGGAATAGAATATCACGCAGTTTGCCCTACATGTAAGTTGTACATCAGAAAGTTTCAGCGAAAAGAGAAAAAAGTCTTATGCACTTCTTGCGAAAAACAAATAATTGTGCAAGGTACAGACGTAAATTTTTTTGTTACACTAAACATTAAAGATTCCATAAAAAATTTAATTGAAAAACACAAAGAATACTATGAAGATGTAATGATTGGCAAGTACAAATCTAATCAGAGTATAACAGACATTTACGATGGCAGTTTGTATAAGAAATTCGTTGAATCCCTTCCCACGGAAGCAAAACAGTCATATGCTACATGTGTATTTAACAGTGATGGATCACCGGTATTCAAAAGTTCAACATATTCTCTGTGGCCGATTCAAGTTTCCATAAATGAAATTCCTCCAGATATACGGCAAAATGAAACAATAACTTGGGCCTTATGGTTTGGCAAAAATAAACCCGAAATGAATGTTTTCCTAAAAACTTTTACGGATACTTTGCAAGAATTATCTATCAAAGGGATTGATGTGCTTTTTAATCGCTCTAAAGTAAAAAATATTAAGTTATATGCACTTGTTTGCTGCGTCGACTCAGTTGCTCGTGCGCCGATGCAAGGGATAACCCAATTCAACGGATTCTACGGTTGTAATTGGTGTCTTCATCCTGGAAAATCAGTAAAAAATAAATCTAAAGGAACTACTCTAAAGTATGTACTACTTACGGAACCTATCGAACGGCGTAGTGCATCTAACATGATTGAATTTGCCGAGAAATCGAAACAGGAAAAAAAGACAATAATGGGTGTAAAGACTTCGACTGTTTTAAGTTGTCTTCCCTGTTTTGACATTGTCGAAGGGTTCGTGCCTGACAGCATGCACTGTATTTTTTTGGGAGTTTGCAGACAGTTCGCGAAGTATTGGTTTAATAAACCAGGAAATGATTTCTATTTAGGGCCTAAAAATGCAGCAAAAATAGAAAAAGTATTAAGTTCTATCAAAGCTCCTAATCAAGTATCTCGCTTAATACGCCCTCTGAAAGAGAAAAAATATTGGAAATCAAGGGAATGGGAAAATTGGCTGCTATATTATAGTTTACCGATATTACGATCAATGAACAACTTTCAAACATATGCCGATCACTGGCAATTATTAGTAGATGCTTGTCACATTTTGCTGCAACAATCTATAACCCATTCAGAATTACTAAAAGCTCATGAGAAACTCGAAGATTTTGTGTTACTGACCCAACAACTCTATTCAAAGAAAGCGATGAGTTTCAATGTCCACCAATTGCTTCATATAGCGAATAGTGTAAATAACTGGGGTCCCCTATGGGCTCATCACGGCTATCCATTCGAAAATGGGAATGGTGTAATATCACGCACCGCAAAATCAGCTAAAGGGGTCTTATTTCAAATCTGTCGAAGTCTTAATTTCAAACGATGCATTAATATCATGGAGCATCATATTCAAATTAATAATCCGGAAATATTGACGTTTTGCACGAATTTGGATGCAAAATATTCTAAAAGATCTAGTAAAATATCACCCCAGTCACCTTGTAGATATTTCGGTAAATCTAAGACAACTGATGATGAATGGATACATCAATTATCGTTAGTACAACAATCATCACGATCTTATCATCGAATGGTTAAAAATAATTGTTTATTTTCAACAAGAAACAATGTTAAATCAGACAATTCATATGCAAAATTGAAAGATGGTACACTAATTAAAATTGTCGAATTTATTATTGATTTTCTTACTAAGAAAGAGTATACTATTTACAAAAAATTAAAAACCACTGGAGATTGTTATAATCAACAGATACTTTCTGAGGAGGACTCATATTCGGCTGTTTTAACAACTGAAATTTCTTTTGTAGCAGTACATGTACAATTAAAAGACAAGAAATATGTAAGTAGTGTTGCCAACATGTTGCATTATTAGATCAAGATAATAAATTTAATTTCAATAAGTTTCAAAAAATATATATTGTTACGAATACACCCGACTTTATCTACTGTAATATTCCTTCTTCCTGCTCTATTTCATTCATTTAAAATGCAATAAATTAATAAGAATTATTACACATGAAATTCACATTATTTTTACACNATGTATCGTGCAGGAACGATAGTGTTTTTATTCAATGGATTATTTTTCAAAAATCTCACTAATGCGTAATCTGCCATTTTATGGCAATTAATACTAATGAAAAATTTGAAAACAAAAGCAAAATCAAGTACACTGTCCAATGTAAAGATAGCAATGAGAAGTTAAGTTCGCACTACGACGAATGCCGCGCAATAATGGCAACGAACGCCAAGTCGCTGTGGAGTGTCGGTTAGAAGTTCAAATAGCAACGGCTTTGTTCACAAAGAAAGAAATAATAGCAACCGTCATCGAAATTGGCGGCAAGTAAGCATGAAGAATTGCGTCATTGTACCGGCTGTGCGTGACCAGTTGCTGCGTATTTTCAGTTTTCACGAGTACGTACGCCTCAATTAAGTTTGTCGAAATAGAAAAATATTATAATGTGTATAAATCGTTGTAAATGTCGCCAAAATATTAAAGTTGTGCCTTATTTACTATAAAAACTGAAATTTTATAAACATAATACATAAATAATTTTATATATTACTTATGATCATAAAAGTATTAAAAAGTATTATATATTAGACTATTTATTATCAAGTGTACAAAATTATATTGAAAGTGCAGTGTATTTTTACATAAAGTGAGTGCCCAATTTTTTGCAATTCCATCTTAAATTGCTCAACAATTTTTTCGATTGTAAAGTGTAATAATAATAGGTAAAACATCCTCTCATTTTCTTGGTTATAAATGCTTGACCCATTTCATTCACTTACGTTACAGAAATTTACTAATACTCTTTATTCAAGAAGTTGCATGTGCAATGTATAAAATTAAATATTTTTTCAACTTTGACAGTCCAATGCTGTTAATATAATATAAAAATAAAACACATCTGTGTCATCTACTGTTCCTTGAAAAATTTCTTTCTTAACTTATTTTCACAATATAACAAATATAAAATTAGTATAGAGATGACAGTATAAAGTTTAAATAATTTTTTACAATCTTTCAATTTTGCACACTCAGTTCAAGTTTATTTCAAAGTTTGTTAATACGTCAAATGCTAGACAATTGTTAAATATTCAAGTTCTCAAGTTCTAAATTTTTAATTCTTCAACATAATATAAGATGGTATGAAATTACATCTTTAGTGTAGTAGAAAATTTTATAAATAATAATGTTTACAGAGTTCTGAGAACGGCAGTTGAATATCAATTTTATTTGCATTTTCAAGTATTATTTAATATTACTATAGTTAGCACATTATAATAATACTTATGTACAGCAGTGAACTATTAATAAATTTCATTATAAATTGGGAACAGTGATGTTACACTTGTGCTCGCCAAGTTTCAATTTATTTTATTATTGCTAAAATTAATTAATATGAAAGAGATACTTGAACCCGTTTGTTAAGGTAATTTTATATCATAAAAAATAAAAATTAATTAAATTGTACTTCAAAGGATAAACCATTATTATTTCCTGAAAATTCTGAAAAATGAAAATTAGGTGTTCAATTTAAATCTTTTATTGTAATATAAAATTACGTTCTTGCAACGTAATGATAACTTTTGACAAATTTGGCACCATCATCCATTTATGTGGAATACTTTAATGTTTAAATAATTTAATTACTCTGCCAGACTTATAATAAAGCAATAAGCATTTAAAAAATCCCATTTTTGACTGGAAACATTAGTATTCCCTTACATTTCTTGAATATTCAAATAAATGTTACTTAAATTGTAAAAATATTTTTTATAAAGTTTGCCTATATTTAACGTAAATTGTATGTATATTTCGCATAAATTTCAATTAACTGTGGTCGTATTATAGAAATATATAAATTTAATTGAAATAAAATACGAAATTGTAGATTTGCAGAGACAATGCTTTTCATGAATATAATTGAAGTTGATTAAATAATTATCACCTGTCATGAACTGTATTGATATTGTTATGGCTATCTTTTCTTTTTAACAATTTCTGGCTGAATTGTGCTACATTATATTAAAAGTAAGATATAGTCGGGTATTTATGATCAGTTTTTAACTGTACTTACTGCTTATACTTTCAGGTTGATTTTGAACTCTCTCTGACTTTTCTTTTGAGTTACATTTTAGAGGTGATATTCAGCTAAATTTTTTAATTAATTAAAGGTTTCATCAATTCATCCACTGTACAATAAAAAACATTTTAAATATTCTAGTTTTCAGTAATTACTAAACAAGATGTCGAAAAAAACGCATTTTTATAATCCAAAATCTGGGCTACCAAAATCAACCAGACATTATTTAAAAAAAAAAGGCATTTTAAAATTGGATTGCGATGATTCAAAGGTATTATTAACACTATTTTTAACAATTACTTTAGTTAAGAAATGCAGAATAGATGTTAATATTAAAAATTATGAAAGTGATATGATAAACAGCCATTAAGACATATTTTATATACTAATAATTTGACGAAAATATTACACTATCAGATATAATATTAGATTCTTGCTTCCAAACATAAACCTTTCCTCAAAAAATTTGTACGTGTCTTCACAAAGCTCGACGAGACTATATATAGTCGTTTTAAAGCATAATCTGGACATTTTCAAAGATACAGTTTTTATTACAAAATTCTTCACGCTTGATAGCCCCACGAAAATCGTCCTATTTTTTCCAATTGAGACAAAGTCAAATGGTCTTATAAGTTTGAGTGCGCTTGCCTTTTTTGTAAAGTTGAATAGAGTATTATTATAATAGTTTTGAGTATTTTATTAAATACTAACCTGTTGGTTAAATTGGTCGTATAGAAATTTATTGAAACTGTCTCCTAAGCTTGGTGTCATGTGGTAATGATCTTGATTATTATAATACCACTGCAAGTGATGTACATTCAAAGAAATTGTGTATGCGGTGCCTGAATTGTCAGAACTAC